GCAGCAGTGTGTGCAGCGTTCGTCTGAACACTCTGCACCAGTCAAGAGTACTGCCTGGACACGAAGGTTCCAACCTGGCCTCGAAGCTCGGCGGGGTCACCTGCAGCGGGCGTAGCCGCCGGCAGGTCGTCTGCGAGAAAGAGGCGAGGGGCGTCAGGCCCCTGTGGCACCCTCTCGCGGGAAGCGCGCGGCCTCTGAGAGGCCGCGAACGAGCTCGACCTGCGCTCGTCGCAAGGGCCTGCGGCCTCACGACGGGTGCGCTGAGACGAGCTGCGGCTAGGGCCGCGTGTGTGCGGTGTCGGATGAGATGATGATGATGATGATGCCTTGGGGTTCTGCGGCTGCGGCTGCGCCGCCACTGGTCTGCCGAGCTCCTCGAATGCTGCCGCGTGCGCCGACGCGGGGACGGTGGCAGGGCCAGCTGGGCCAGCGCCACTGTTCCCACGGCGTGGTGCGCGGAAGCGCCCAGGAGTCTCGAGACCAGTGGGGCTTGCGCCCGACGCAGTGCGGCGAAGTTCTGCCGCGAGACGCGCCTCGGGGCCGTCGGAACTGGGGGGGGGTATCTGGGACACCCACACGGTCACCTCCAAGGCTCCCCATAGCCTCACGGAGCCCACGCGCCGACGGAGAGCTCGCACGCGGAGCTGCGACGGATCCCTTACGGCGGAGACGCCGCGGGGGATCCATTTCGGCTGCGAGCGAGGTCGCGACGCGGGGTTCGGTGAATGGTGAGCTTTAAGGGCTGATGACCTGTGTATGGGGTTAGAGTACAGAAGGTACAGAACCCCTGATCCGTAGGTAGAGGAAAGAGGGAACGATAGGGATCTTTTCCTCCTGTGCGACCAGCGTCCTGATCTTTTCCAGTACCTGAGCCGATAGGGCAGGCAAAAGGGCGAGTGAGGAGTAGAGATGAGGGTATGAGACGGGTTCCTTTTCACAGAACCCCCCCCCTTTCATGATGGACTGGGGGGGGGGTTCGTGACCCCCCCCGTTTCCGAAGGGGGGGGACGGGCTGGAAACCCCCAGTGACCTCCCCCCGGTTTTCCGCCAGCTGCGGTAGAACACGCTCTTTCAGACATGTCAAGCAATACCAAGCAATGCCAAATGACGGCAAATAAAGACAATAACGTCAATCAAGCAATGCCAAGTAATGCAATGTAATGCAAAGCAATAGCATGCAATGCCTGGCAATGCCAAGCAATGCCAAGCAATGCCATGCAATGCCAATCAATGCAAAACAATGCCAGGCAATGCCAAGCAATGCAACACAATGCCAAGCAATGCAACCCCATGCCAAGCATCGCCAGGCGGCAATGCCAAGCAATGCAACGCCATGTCAAGCAACGCCTAGCACTGCCAAGCAAAGCCGAGCAATCCGAAGCAGTGAAAAGCAACGCAAAGCAATGACAAGCAAGGCCAAGCACTGCAATGTAATGCCAAGCAAAGCCAAGCAATGCAAAACCAAGCCAAGCAATGCCAAGCAACGCCAAGCAATTCTAATCACTGCCAAGCAAGTCCAACAACTGCAAAGGAATCCGCCGACCCTGTCGGCGTGTGCGAGGGGCTTGGCTGTTCGAGTCGTCGTCTCCGTCGGTCGTCGCCTCCGTCGTCTCCTTTCCCTGCAGCTTCCTTCTCAAGCTCGTGAGCGAAAGAAAAATCTAGCAGTGTCGTAATCGAGTCGAAGGGAAGACCCTTCCCTTTGATCCCTTCCCCAGGGGGGGGGGGGGGGGGTCCCGGGGGGGGTCCCGGGGGGGTCCCGGGGGGGGTGGGGGGGCAGATTCGTTTTTCCTCGGGCGGCCTAGAAACCTCGAAAACACTCCAAATGAGGTCCGAATGCCCAAGATGGCCCCCGAGACGGCCCAAGAGGGCCCCGAGTCGCCCAAAGATCGGCCGAAAACGCCCAAGATAGCCCCAAGACCGTCCAAGAAGCCTCCAAGACGTCCCAGGCCCCCTCCAAGAGACCCCCAGGAAGCCCCAAGAGGCCCCCACGAGGCTTCCAAGCGGCCCCTAAGAGCTTCCCAAGAGGCCCACAAACTACCCCCAAGAGGCCCCCAAGAGCGCTCGTCGTCGTCGTCGTCGTCGCCATTCAGGGTCGGCGGCACCGGCCGTAAGGCCTTCGCAATATCAGACAATACCAAGCAATGCAAGCCAATGCCAAGCAATGCCAAGCAATGCAAAACAATACGAAGGAATGCAAGGCAATGCAAACCAGTACAGAGAAATGCAGAACAATGCAAAACCATGCCCAGCAATGCCTTCTAGATTTGGAGAAGCTTTGCCGACTTGCGGTCGCGCCAGGTTCATTTTATGATCGGACACATCGGCACGCCGACAAGATAATCTCCTGCTCACACACGCGACACGAACAGCCAGCCTCAGGATCCACCGACCCAAGCGGACGATGACGCTGTGGCCACTGTCGGCCCTAGGTGGACACCAAAACGAAGAATCTATAGCGTCTGGGTCGCAACCGAAGCCGCTAGAGGACCTCGGTCTGGCAAGGAAGCCCGCTGCTCAGCGTACTAGTACCGGTACGTGTCAGGCTTGAAAGGGCCAGTGGCCTTCACACCGATGTAGTCGGCCTGCTCCTTCGTGAGGGTCGTGAGCTGTGCACCGAGCGCCGGCAGGTGCAGGCTGGCAACCTTCTCGTCGAGGTCTTTGGGGAGGAGGTACACGTTGTTCTTGTAGCCCTTCTCCTTCGCCGTGAGCAGGTCAATCTGCGCGAGGACCTGGTTCGTGAACGAGCAGGACATCACGAAGGACGGGTGTCCAGTGGCGCAGCCGAGGTTGAGCAGCCGCCCAGCCGCCAGGACGATGATGCCGTGACCGTCTGGGAAGACGTAGCGGTCAACCTGCGGCTTGATGTTCTCCACCTTGATGCCTTCGAACTTCTCCAGATTTTCCATCTCGATCTCGTTATCGAAGTGGCCAATGTTGCCGACGATGGCGTTGTTCTTCATCTTCTTCATGTGCTCCAGCGTGATGATCTTGAAGTTTCCTGTGGTGGTCGTGAAGATGTCGATCTCGCCGACAACGCTCTCCATCGTAACCACCTGGAAGCCCTCCATGCATGCCTGGAGCGCACAGATGGGGTCACACTCAGTGATCAGCACCCTGGCACCAGCACCGCGCATGGCGAACGCGCAACCCTTGCCCACATCACCATAACCACAGATCAGCGCACGCTTGCCCCCGATCATCACGTCGGTGGCACGCATGATGCCATCTGGCAGCGAATGCCTGCACCCGTAGACATTGTCGAACTTGGACTTGGTCACACAATCGTTAACGTTGATGGCTGGGAACAGGAGCTCGCCCTTCGCAGCCATCTCCTTCAGCCGGTGGACGCCAGTGGTGGTCTCCTCGCTGACGCCCTTGCACTTCGCGGCCATGCGCGTGTACTTTGTCTTGTCGGCCGGGATGGAATCTCGCAGCAGCTGCAAGATGCATTTGAATTCGGCGTTGTCCGTGCTGGCAGGGTCGGGCAGAGATCCGTCCTTCGCGAACTTTTCCTCGAACTCCTTGCCCTTATGGATCAGCAGCGTCGCGTCGCCGCCGTCGTCGACGAGCTGGTCGCAGCCGTCCGCGCCTGGCACTGTCATCATCTGCTCGGTACACCACCAGTACTCCTGCAGGGTCTCGCCCTTCCATGCGAACACGGTGGATGTCTCGGCCTTCGCGATAGCCGCAGCCGCGTGGTCCTGCGTGCTGAAGATGTTGCAGGAGCACCAGCGCACTTTGGCCCCAAGCGCGTGCAGGGTCTCGATGAGGACGCCGGTCTGGATAGTCATGTGCAGAGACCCGTTGATGTTCATCCCCTTGAAGGGCTGCTTCGGGCCGAACTCCTTGCGGGCCGCCATGAGGCCCGGCATCTCGTGCTCCGCCAGGCTGAGCTCTTTGCGGCCGAACTCGGCGAGGCCCATGTCCTTGACCTTGGACTCCGCCATGACTTCGCAGCCTGGCGTGACGCGCGGCGAGAGTTAGGGGGATGCTCGCTCGAGGCTTGTCCTGTCCAACTGTCTGGAGCCAAAACGGCTACTGAGGATGGTGGTGATGATGGTGCTGATGGTGGCGGCGATGACCGAAGTCTTCCTTACGTGTCTTTGTAGAACAGCTATGTGTTAGGTCTGCGCCGGCCAGGGTTCGCCGGCTTGCCTTCAATCATGCCAGGCAATGCAAAGCAAGGGAAAGCAATGCCAAGCAGGAGAGTGCCACGCAGCGCCTAGCAAGGCCAAACAATGCAAGGCAAGGCCAAGTAGTAGCAAGAAACAACGAGCGACGCCAAGCAATACCAAGCAATGCATCGCAATGCCAAGCAATGCCAAGTAAATCAAATGCCAAGCAATGTCAAGACATGCCTAGCAATGCCAAGCAATGCCAAGCACCGGCAAACAAATAGACAACCGTCAAGCACTGCCAAGCACTGCGATGCAATGCAACAACAGTACCATGTAATGCCCAGCAATGCCAAGTAATACCTCGCAATGCCATGCAATACCATGCAATGCCAAGCAATACAAAATAATGCCAAGCAATGCCAAGCAAAGCAACACAATGCCAAGCAATGCAACGCCATGCCAAGCATCGCCAGGCGGAAATGCCAAGCAATGCAACGCCATGTCAAGCAACGCCTAGCAATGCCAAGTAATACCGAGCAATCCGAAGCAGGTAAAGTAACGCAAAGCAACGACAAGCACTGCAACGCAATGCCAAGCAAAGCCAAGCAATGTTCAACACAGCCAAGCAATGCCAAGCAACGCCAAGCAATTCTAAGCACTGCCAAGCAAGTCCAACAACTGCAAAGGAATATCAGACGATACCAAGCAATGCAAGGCAATGCTTGCAATGCCAGGCAATGCGGAACAATACGAAGAAATGCAAGGCAATGCAAAGCAGTACAGAGAAATGCAAAACAATGCAAAACAATGCCAGGCAACGCCTTTCATGCTTAGAGGCTTAGTGAGGCTTCACCGACTTGCGGTCGCGCCAGGTTAGTTTTATGATCGGACACATCGGCATGCCGACAAGATAGTCTCCTGCTCACACACGCGGCACGAACAGCCAGCCTCAGGATCCACCGACCCAAGCGGACGATGTCGCTGTGCCAACTGTCGGCCCTAGGTGGACAGCAAAACGAAGAATCTTTAGCGTCTGGGTCGCAACCGAAGCCGCTAGAGGACCTTGGTCTGGCAAGGAAGCCCGCTGCTCAGCGTACTAGTACCGGTACGTGTCAGGCTTGAAAGGGCCAGTGGCCTTCACACCGATGTAGTCGGCCTGCTCCTTCGTGAGGGTCGTGAGCTGTGCACCGAGCGCCGGCAGGTGCAGGCTGGCAACCTTCTCGTCGAGGTCTTTGGGGAGGAGGTACACGTTGTTCTTGTAGCCCTTCTCCTTCGCCGTGAGCAGGTCAATCTGCGCGAGGACCTGGTTCGTGAACGAGCAGGACATCACGAAGGACGGGTGCCCAGTGGCGCAGCCGAGGTTGAGCAGCCGCCCAGCCGCCAGGACGATGATGCCGTGACCGTCTGGGAAGACGTAGCGGTCAACCTGCGGCTTGATGTTCTCCACCTTGATGCCTTCGAACTTCTCCAGATTTTCCATCTCGATCTCGTTATCGAAGTGGCCAATGTTGCCGACGATGGCGTTGTTCTTCATCTTCTTCATGTGCTCCAGCGTGACGATCTTGAAGTTTCCTGTGGTGGTCGTGAAGATGTCGATCTCGCCGACAACGCTCTCCATCGTAACCACCTGGAAGCCCTCCATGCATGCCTGGAGCGCACAGATGGGGTCACACTCAGTGATCAGCACCCTGGCACCAGCACCGCGCATGGCAAACGCACAACCCTTGCCCACATCACCATAACCACAGATCAGCGCACGCTTGCCCCCGATCATCACGTCGGTGGCACGCATGATGCCATCTGCAGCGAATGCCTGCACCCGTAGACATTGTCGAACTTGGACTTGGTCACACAATCGTTAACGTTGGGCTGGGAACAGAGCTCGCCCTTCGCAGCCATCTCCTTCAGCCTGTGGACGCCAGTGGTGGTCTCCTCGCTGACGCCCTTGCACTTCGCGGCCATGCGCGTGTACTTCGTCTTGTCGGCCGGGATGGAATCTCGCAGCAGCTGCAAGATGCACTTGAATTCGGCGTTGTCCGTGCTGGCAGGATCGGGCAGGGATCCGTCCTTCGCGAACTTTTCCTCGAACTCCTTGCCCTTGTGGATCAGCAGCGTCGCGTCGCCGCCGTCGTCGACGAGCTGGTCGCAGCCGTCCGCGCCTGGCACTGTCATCATCTGCTCGGTACACCACCAGTACTCCTGCAGGGTCTCGCCCTTCCATGCGAACACGGTGGATGTCTCGGCCTTCGCGATGGCCGCAGCCGCATGGTCCTGCGTGCTGAAGATGTTGCAGGAGCACCAGCGCACTTTGGCCCCAAGCGCGTGCAGGGTCTCGATGAGGACGCCGGTCTGGATAGTCATGTGCAGAGACCCGTTGATGTTCATCCCCTTGAAGGGCTGCTTCGGGCCGAACTCCTTGCGGGCCGCCATGAGGCCCGGCATCTCGTGCTCCGCCAGGCTGAGCTCTTTGCGGCCGAACTCGGCGAGGCCCATGTCCTTGACCTTGGACTCTGCCATGACTTCGCAGCCTGGCGTGACGCGCGGCGAGAGTTAGGGGGATGCTCGCTCGAGGCTTGTCCTGTCCAACTGTCTTGAGCCAAAACGGCTACGGAGGATGGTGGTGATGATGGTGCTGATGGTGGCGGCGATGACCGAAGACATTCTTACTTGTCTTTGAAGAACCGCTATTTGTCAGGTCTGCGCCGGCCGGGGTCGCCGGTTTGCCTTCAATCATGCCAGGCAAAGCCAAGCAAGGGAAAGCATTGCCAAGAGAGTGCCACGCAGCGCCAAGCAAGGCCAAACAATGCCAGGGAAGGCCAAGTAGTAGCAAGAACCAACGAGCGACGCCAAGCAATACCAAGCAATGCAAAGCAATGCCAAGCAATGGCAAGCAAAGGCCAAGCAATGTCAAGACATGTCAAACAATACCAAGCAATGCCAAGCAAAGACAAACAATGACAGCAACGTCAAGCAATGCCAAGTAATGTAATACAATGCCACAGCAATAGCATGTGATGCCCAGCAATGCCAAGCAATGAACGGCAATGCCAAGCAATGCCTAGCACTGTCTAGCAATACAATACAATGCCAAGCAATGCGAAATCATGCCAAGCAAGCCAAGCAATGCAACGCAACGCCAAGCAATGCAACGCCATGCCAAGCATCGCCAGTCGGAAATGCCAAGCAATGCAAAGGCATGTCAAGCAATGCCTAGCAATGTTATGCAATACCGAGCAATCCGAAAAAGTCAAAAGCAAAGCAGGCCAGCGACAAGCAATGCAAAGCACTGCAACGCGATGTCAAGCAAAGCCAATCAATTCAAAGCAGTGCCATGCAATGCCAAGCACTTCAAAGCAATGCAAAACAAAGCCAAGCAACGCCAAGCAACGCCAAACAATGCTAAGCACTGCCAAGCAACGTCAATAACTGCAAAGGAATACTGGACAATGCCAAGCAATGCAAGGCAAGGCCAAGCAATGCCAAGAACTGCCGGACAATGCAAACTAATAAGAAGCAATGCCGAACAATGCGAAGCAATGCAGAAAATATTTAAAACAATACAAAACAATGCCAAACAATGCCAAGAAACACCCTCCGTGCTTAGTTACTTACTGAGGCTTCGCCGACTTTCGGTCGCGCCAGACTTTTATGATCGGACACGTCGGCATGCCGACAAGATAGCCTTCGGCTTACAAACGCGACACGAACAGCCAGCCTCAGGATCCACCGACGCAAGCGGACGATGACGCTGTGGCAACTGTCGGCCCTAGGTTGACACCAAGAAACAGACTCTGGAGAGTCTGGGTCGCAACCGAAGCCGCTAGAAGACCTCGGCCTGGCAAGAAGGCCGCTGCTCAGCGTACTAGTACCGGTACGTGTCAGGCTTGAAGGGGCCAGTGGCCTTCACACCGATGTAGTCGGCCTGCTCCTTCGTGAGGGTCGTGAGCTGGGCACCGAGCGCCGGCAGGTGCAGGCTGGCAACCTTCTCGTCGAGGTCTTTGGGGAGGAGGTACACGTTGTTCTTGTAGCCCTTCTCCTTGGCCGTGAGCAGGTCAATCTGCGCGAGGACCTGGTTCGTGAACGAGCAGGACATCACGAAAGATGGGTGTCCAGTGGCGCAGCCGAGGTTGAGCAGCCGCCCAGCCGCCAGGACGATGATGCCGTGCCCGTCTGGGAAGACGTAGCGGTCAACCTGCGGCTTGATGTTCTCCACCTTGATGCCTTCGAACTTCTCCAGATTTTCCATCTCGATCTCGTTATCGAAGTGGCCAATTGCCGACGATGGCTTGTTCTTCATCTTCTTCATGTGCTCCAGCGTGATGATCTTGAAGTTTCCTGTGGTGGTCGTGAAGATGTCGATCTCGCCGACAACGCTCTCCATCGTAACCACCTGGAAGCCCTCCATGCATGCCTGGAGCGCACAGATGGGGTCACACTCAGTGATCAGAACCCTGGCACCAGCACCGCGCATGGCAAACGCGCAACCCTTGCCCACATCACCATAACCACAGATCAGCGCACGCTTGCCCCCGATCATCACGTCTGTGGCACGCATGATGCCATCTGGCAGCGAATGCCTGCACCCGTAGACATTGTCGAACTTGGACTTGGTCACGCAATCGTTAACGTTGATGGCTGGGAACAGGAGCTCGCCCTTCGCAGCCATCTCCTTCAGCCTGTGGACGCCAGTGGTGGTCTCCTCGCTGACGCCCTTGCACTTCGCGGCCATGCGCGTGTACTTTGTCTTGTCGGCCGGGATGGAATCTCGCAACAGCTGCAAGATGCACTTGAATTCGGCGTTGTCCGTGCTGGCAGGATCGGGCAGGGATCCGTCCTTCGCGAACTTTTCCTCGAACTCCTTGCCCTTGTGGATCAGCAGCGTCGCGTCGCCGCCGTCATCGACGAGCTGGTCGCAGCCGTCCGCGCCTGGCACTGTCATCATCTGCTCGGTACACCACCATACTCCTGCAGGGTCTCGCCCTTCCATGCGAACACGGTGGATGTCTCGGCCTTCGCGATGGCCGCAGCCGCGTGGTCCTGCGTGCTGAAGATGTTGCAGGAGCACCAGCGCACTTTGGCCCCAAGCGCGTGCAAGGTCTCGATGAGGACGCCGGTCTGGATAGTCATGTGCAGAGACCCGTTGATGTTCATCCCCTTGAAGGGCTGCTTCGGGCCGAACTCCTTGCGGGCCGCCATGAGGCCCGGCATCTCGTGCTCCGCCAGGCTGAGCTCTTTGCGGCCGAACTCGGCGAGGCCCATGTCCTTGACCTTGGACTCCGCCATGACTTCGCAGCCTGGCGTGACGCGCGGCGAGAGTTAGGGGGATGCTCGCTCGAGGCTTGTCCTGTCCAACTGTCTTGAGCCAAAACGGCTACGGAGGATGGTGGTGATGATGGTGCTGATGGTGGCGGCGATGACCGAAGACATTCTTACTTGTCCTTGAAGAACCGCTATTTGTCAGGTCTGCGCCGGCCGGGGTTCGCCGGCTTGCCTTCGATCAAGCCAGGCAACGCCAAGCAAGGGAAAGCAATGCCAAGAGAGTGCCGCGCAGCGCCAAGCAAGGCCATGCAATGTCAGGGAAGGCCAAGTAGTAGCAAGAAACAACGAGCGACGCCAAGCAATACCAAGCAATGCATCGCAATGCCAAGCAATGGCAAGTAAATCAAATGCCAAGCAATGTCAAGCCATGCCTAGCAATGCCAAGCAATGCCAAGCACCGGCAAACAAAGACAAAAACGTAGAGCAATGCCAAGCACTGCGATGCAATGCAACAACAATACCATGTAATGCCCAGCAATGCCAAGCAATGAACGGCAATGCCAAGCTAAGCCGAGCAATTCCATGCAATACGATGCAATGCCAAGCAATGCAAAACAATTCCAAGCACTGCGCAACACAATGCCAAGCAATGCAACGCCATGACAAGCATCGCCAGGCGGCAATGCCAAGCAATGCAACGCCATGGCAAGCAACGCCTAGCAATGCCAAGCAATACCGAGCAATCCGAAGCAGTGAAAAGCAACGCAAAGCAACGACAAGCAATGCCAAGCATTGCAACGCAAAACCAAGCAATGTTCAACACAGCCAAGCAATGCCAAGCAACGCCAAGCAATTCTAAGCACTGCCAAGCAAGTCCAACAACTGTAAAGGAATATCAGACAATACCAAGCAATGCAAGGCAAAGCTTGCAATGCAAGGCAATGCAAAGCAGTACAGAGAAATGCAAAACAATGCAAAACAATGCCAGGCAACGCCTTCCATGCTTAGAGACTTAGTGAGGCTTCGCCGACTTGCGGTCGCGCCAGGTTCATTTCATGATCGGACACATCGGCATGCCGACAAGATAGTCTCCTACTCACACACGCGACACGAACAGCCAGCCTCAGGATCCACCGACCCACGCGGACGATGACGCTGTGGCAACTGTCGGCCGTAGGTGGACACCAAAACGAAGACTCCTTAGAGTCTGGGTCGCAACCGAAGCCGCTAGAAGACCTCGGCCTGGCAAGGAAACCCGCTGCTCAGCGTACTAGTACCGGTACGTGTCAGGCTTGAAGGGGCCAGTGGCCTTCACACCGATGTAGTCGGCCTGCTCCTTCGTGAGGGTCGTGAGCTGTGCACCGAGCGCCGGCAGGTGCAGGCTGGCAACCTTCTCGTCGAGGTCTTTGGGGAGGAGGTACACGTTGTTCTTGTAGCCCTTCTCCTTCGCCGTGAGCAGGTCAATCTGCGCGAGGACCTGGTTCGTGGAACCGAGCAGTCATCACGAAGGACGGGGTGTCCAGTGGCGCAGCCGAGGTTTGAGCAGCCGCCCACCGCAAGGACGAATGAATGCCGTGCCCGTCTGGTAAGACTAGCGGACAACCTCGGCTTATGAAATGTACACACCTTGATCCTTCGAACTTCTCCAGATTTTCCTTCTTCGATCACGTATCAAAGTGGCCATGTTTGCCGACAATTGGCGTTGTTTCAACTTCTCATGAGCTCCATCGTGATGACTTGAAGATTCCTTGGTGGTCCGTGAAGAAGTCGATCACTGCCGACAACGCTCTCCATCGTAAACCGACCTGGAAGCCCTCCCGCAGCCTGGAAGCGCACAGATGTGTGTCACACCCATTGATCATCAAACCCTGGCACCATCAAACGGCGCAATGGCGAACGCGCAACCTTTGCCCCCAATCACCATAACCACAGAACAGCCGCACGCTTCCCCCGATCATCAACGTCGGAGGCACGCAAGATACCCATCTGGCAGCGAAATGCCTGCCACCCGTAGACATTCTCGAACTTGGACTTGGTCACTACAATCGATAACGATTGATCGGGCTGGGAACAGGAGCTGCGCCCTTCCGCAGCCATCTCCTTCAGCCTGTGGACCCAGTGGTGGTCTCCTCGCTGACGGCCACTTGCACTTCGCTGCCATGCGCGGTACTTTCGTCATGTCGTCCGGGATGTAATCCGCAGCAGCAGCAAGATGCACTTGAATTCGGCATTGTCCGTGCTGCAGTGTCGGGCAGTGATCCGTCCTTCCGCGAACATTTCCCTCGAACCCTTGCCTATTGTGGATCATCAGCGTCGCGTCGCCGGCCGTCCGTCGACGAGCTGGTCGCTGCCGTCCGCGCGGCACTGCTCTTCATCTGCACGTTAACAACCAGAACTCCCTGCCCCATCAGGGTCTCGCCCTTCCATGCGAACACGGTGGATGTCTCGGCCTTCGCGATGGCCGCAGCCGCGTGGTCCTGCGTGCTGAAGATGTTGCAGGAGCACCAGCGCACTTTGGCCCCAAGCGCGTGCAGGGTCTCGATAAGGACGCCGGTCTGGATAGTCATGTGCAGAGACCCGTTGATGTTCATCCCCTTGAAGGGCTGCTTCGGGCCGAACTCCTTGCGGGCCGCCATGAGGCCCGGCATCTCGTGCTCCGCCAGGCTGAGCTCTTTGCGGCCGAACTCGGCGAGGCCCATGTCCTTGACCTTGGACTCCGCCATGCCTTCGCAACTCGGCGTGACGCGCAGCTCGAACCTTGTCCGGTCCAAATGTCTTGAGCCAAAACGGCTACGGAGGATGATGGTGATGATGGTGCTGATGGTGGCGACGATGACTCAAGAAATTGCTACTTGTCTTTGAAGAACTGGAATGTGTTAGGTCTGCGCTGGCCAGGGTTCGCCGATTTTCTTTGGTCAACCAAGCAATGCCAAGCAATGGAAAGCCATACCAAGAGAATGCCACGCAGCGCCAAGCATGATCAAACAATGCTAAGCAACGCGAAGTAATACCAAGAAGCAACAAGCGACGCCAAGCAAAAAAAACAAGCAACGCAACGCAATGGCAAGCGAAGGCCAAGCAATGCCAAGACATGTCAAGCAATACCAAACAATGCCAAACAACGGCATACAAAGACAAAAACGTCAAGCAACGCCAAGCAATGCACTGCAATACACAGCAATACCATGCAATGCCCAGCAATACCAAGCAATGAACGGCAATGTCAAGCAATGCCTAGCAATACACAGCAATACCAAGCAATGCCACAACAACGCCAAGCAAGGCCAAACAATACAAAACAATACCAAGCATAGCAACGCCATCCCAAGCATCGCCAGGCGGCAATGCCAAGCAATGCAACGCCTTGTCAAACAACGCCTAGAAATCCCAAGCAATACCGAGCAATCCGAAGCAATGAAAAGCAACGCAAAGCAACGACAAGCAATGCCAAGCACTGCAACGCCATGTCAAGCAAAGCCAAGCAATTCAAAGCAGTGCCATGCAATGCCAAGCAACGCCCAGCAATGCAAAGCAATGCCAAGCAGTGGCAAGCAACGCAAAGCAACGCCAAGCAACGCCAAACACTGCCAAGCAATGCCAAGTATCACCAAGCAACGCCAATAACTGCAAAGGAATACCAAACAATGCCAAGCAATGCAAGCAAAGCCAAGCAATGCCGACCAATGCCAAAAATACGTAGCATTCCCGAGCAGAGCAAAGCAATGCAGAGAAATGTAACACAATGCAATCAATGCCAAGCAATGCCCTCGGTGCTCAGATACCTAGTGAGGTGTCGCCTAATTGCGGTCGCGCCTTGATCGGACACATCGGCATGCCGACAAAAAGGAATCCTGCTTACAAACACGACACGAACAGCCAGCCTCAGGATCCACCGACCAAAGCGGACGATGACGCTGTGGCAACTGTCGGCCAGACTCCTTAGAGTCAGGGTCGCAACCGAAGCCGCTAGAAGACCTCGGCCTGGCAAAGAAGCCCGCTGCTCAGCGTACTAGTACCGGTACGTGTCAGGCTTGAAGGGGCCAGTGGCCTTCACACCGATGTAATCGGCCTGCTCCTTCGTGAGGGTCGTGAGCTGGGCACCGAGCGCCGGCAAGTGCAGGCTGGCAACCTTCTCGTCGAGGTCTTTGGGGAGGAGGTACACGTTGTTCTTGTAGCCCTTCTCCTTCGCCGTGAGCAGGTCAATCTGCGCGAGGACCTGGTTCGTGAACGAGCAGGACATCACAAAGGACGGGTGTCCGGTGGCGCAGCCGAGGTTGAGCAGCCGCCCAGCCGCCAGGACGATGATGCCGTGCCCGTCTGGGAAGACGTAGCGGTCAACCTGCGGCTTGATGTTCTCCACCTTGATGCCTTCGAACTTCTCCAGATTTTCCATCTCGATCTCGTTATCGAAGTGGCCAATGTTGCCGACAATGGCGTTGTTCTTCATCTTCTTCATGTGCTCCAGCGTGATGATCTTGAAGTTTCCTGTGGTGGTCGTGAAGATGTCGATCTCGCCGACGACGCTCTCCATCGTAACCACCTGGAAACCCTCCATGCATGCCTGGAGCGCACAGATGGGGTCACACTCAGTGATCAGCACCCTGGCACCAGCACCGCGCATGGCGAACGCGCACCCCTTGCCCACATCACCGTAACCACAGATCAGCGCACGCTTGCCTCCGATCATCACGTCTGTGGCACGCATGATGCCATCTGGCAGCGAATGCCTGCACCCGTAGACATTGTCGAACTTGGACTTGGTCACGCAATCGTTAACGTTGATGGCTGGGAACAGGAGCTCGCCCTTCGCAGCCATCTCCTTCAGCCGGTGGACGCCAGTGGTGGTCTCCTCGCTGACGCCCTTGCACTTCGCGGCCATGCGCGTGTACTTCGTCTTGTCGGCAGGGATGGAATCTCGCAACAGCTGCAAGATGCACTTGAATTCGGCGTTGTCCGTGCTGGCAGGATCTGGCAGGGATCCGTCCTTCGCGAACTTTTCCTCGAACTCCTTGCCCTTGTGGATCAGCAGCGTCGCGTCGCCGCCGTCGTCGACGAGCTGGTCGCAGCCGTCCGCGCCTGGCACTGTCATCATCTGCTCGGTACACCACCAATACTCCTGCAGGGTCTCGCCCTTCCATGCGAACACGGTGGATGTCTCGGCCTTCGCGATGGCCGCAGCCGCGTGGTCCTGCGTGCTGAAGATGTTGCAGGAGCACCAGCGCACTTTGGCCCCAAGCGCGTGCAGGGTCTCGATGAGGACGCCGGTCTGGATAGTCATGTGCAGAGACCCGTTGATGTTCATCCCCTTGAAAGGCTGCTTCGGGCCGAACTCCTTGCGGGCCGCCATGAGGCCCGGCATCTCGTGCTCCGCCAGGCTGAGCTCTTTGCGGCCGAACTCGGCGAGGCCCATGTCCTTGACCTTGGACTCTGCCATGACTTCGCAGCCTGGCGTGACGCGCGGCGAGAGTTAGGGGGATGCTCGCTCGAGGCTTGTCCTGTCCAACTGTCTTGAGCCAAAACGGCTACGGAGGATGGTGGTGATGATGGTGCTGATGGTGGCGGCGATGACCGAAGACATTCTTACTTGTCTTTGAAGAACCGCTATTTGTCAGGTCTGCGCCGGCCGGGGTCGCCGGTTTGCCTTCAATCATGCCAGGCAAAGCCAAGCAAGGGAAAGCATTGCCAAGAGAGTGCCACGCAGCGCCAAGCAAGGCCAAACAATGCCAGGGAAGGCCAAGTAGTAGCAAGAACCAACGAGCGACGCCAAGCAATACCAAGCAATGCAAAGCAATGCCAAGCAATGGCAAGCAAAGGCCAAGCAATGTCAAGACATGTCAAACAATACCAAGCAATGCCAAGCAAAGACAAACAATGACAGCAACGTCAAGCAATGCCAAGTAATGTAATACAATGCCACAGCAATAGCATGTGATGCCCAGCAATGCCAAGCAATGAACGGCAATGCCAAGCAATGCCTAGCACTGTCTAGCAATACAATACAATGCCAAGCAATGCGAAATCATGCCAAGCAAGCCAAGCAATGCAACGCAACGCCAAGCAATGCAACGCCATGCCAAGCATCGCCAGTCGGAAATGCCAAGCAATGCAAAGGCATGTCAAGCAATGCCTAGCAATGTTATGCAATACCGAGCAATCCGAAAAAGTCAAAAGCAAAGCAGGCCAGCGACAAGCAATGCAAAGCACTGCAACGCGATGTCAAGCAAAGCCAATCAATTCAAAGCAGTGCCATGCAATGCCAAGCACTTCAAAGCAATGCAAAACAAAGCCAAGCAACGCCAAGCAACGCCAAACAATGCTAAGCACTGCCAAGCAACGTCAATAACTGCAAAGGAATACTGGACAATGCCAAGCAATGCAAGGCAAGGCCAAGCAATGCCAAGAACTGCCGGACAATGCAAACTAATAAGAAGCAATGCCGAACAATGCGAAGCAATGCAGAAAATATTTAAAACAATACAAAACAATGCCAAACAATGCCAAGAAACACCCTCCGTGCTTAGTTACTTACTGAGGCTTCGCCGACTTTCGGTCGCGCCAGACTTTTATGATCGGACACGTCGGCATGCCGACAAGATAGCCTTCGGCTTACAAACGCGACACGAACAGCCAGCCTCAGGATCCACCGACGCAAGCGGACGATGACGCTGTGGCAACTGTCGGCCCTAGGTTGACACCAAGAAACAGACTCTGGAGAGTCTGGGTCGCAACCGAAGCCGCTAGAAGACCTCGGCCTGGCAAGAAGGCCGCTGCTCAGCGTACTAGTACCGGTACGTGTCAGGCTTGAAGGGGCCAGTGGCCTTCACACCGATGTAGTCGGCCTGCTCCTTCGTGAGGGTCGTGAGCTGGGCACCGAGCGCCGGCAGGTGCAGGCTGGCAACCTTCTCGTCGAGGTCTTTGGGGAGGAGGTACACGTTGTTCTTGTAGCCCTTCTCCTTGGCCGTGAGCAGGTCAATCTGCGCGAGGACCTGGTTCGTGAACGAGCAGGACATCACGAAAGATGGGTGTCCAGTGGCGCAGCCGAGGTTGAGCAGCCGCCCAGCCGCCAGGACGATGATAGGACCCCATAAGATTCGATGAAAGTCAGCAGGCACCTTGCTTCGGATTGATGTCTCTCTCGCCCTAGATTCCGCCGGCCGATTTCATCAATTCTCCAGATTTTCCAGCTCTGATCTCGTATCGAGTGGCCAATGTTGCCGACGATGGCGGTTGTTCTCTCCTTCTCAATGTGCTCCAGCGTGGATGATCTTGAGTTTTCCTGTGGTGGTCGTGAAGATGTCGATCTCGCCGACAACGCTCTCCATCGTAACCACCTGGAAGCCCTCCATGCATGCCTGGAGCGCACAGATGGGGTCACACTCAGTGATCAGAACCCTGGCACCAGCACCGCGCATGGCAAACGCGCAACCCTTGCCCACATCACCATAACCACAGATCAGCGCACGCTTGCCCCCGATCATCACGTCTGTGGCACGCATGATGCCATCTGGCAGCGAATGCCTGCACCCGTAGACATTGTCGAACTTGGACTTGGTCACGCAATCGTTAACGTTGATGGCTGGGAACAGGAGCTCGCCCTTCGCAGCCATCTCCTTCAGCCTGTGGACGCCAGTGGTGGTCTCCTCGCTGACGCCCTTGCACTTCGCGGCCATGCGCGTGTACTTTGTCTTGTCGGCCGGGATGGAATCTCGCAACAGCTGCAAGATGCACTTGAATTCGGCGTTGTCCGTGCTGGCAGGATCGGGCAGGGATCCGTCCTTCGCGAACTTTTCCTCGAACTCCTTGCCCTTGTGGATCAGCAGCGTCGCGTCGCCGCCGTCATCGACGAGCTGGTCGCAGCCGTCCGCGCCTGGCACTGTCATCATCTGCTCGGTACACCACCAGTACTCCTGCAGGGTCTCGCCCTTCCATGCGAACACGGTGGATGTCTCGGCCTTCGCGATGGCCGCAGCCGCGTGGTCCTGCGTGCTGAAGATGTTGCAGGAGCACCAGCGCACTTTGGCCCCAAGCGCGTGCAAGGTCTCGATGAGGACGCCGGTCTGGATAGTCATGTGCAGAGACCCGTTGATGTTCATCCCCTTGAAGGGCTGCTTCGGGCCGAACTCCTTGCGGGCCGCCAGCTCCCGGCAATCTCGTGCTCCGCCAGGCTGAGCTCGATTTGGCGCTGCCGGATCACATCGGTGTGGCTGAGGCCCTGTCCTTTGACTGACCTCCGCCATGACTTCGCAGCCTTGCGTGACGCGCGGCGAGAGTGCTGCGGGGGATGCTCGCTCGAGGCTTGTCCTGTCCAACTGTCTTGAGCCAAAACGGCTACGGAGGATGGTGGTGATGATGGTGCTGATGGTGGCGGCGATGACCGAAGACATTCTTACTTGTCCTTGAAGAACCGCTATTTGTCAGGTCTGCGCCGGCCGGGGTTCGCCGGCTTGCCTTCGATCAAGCCAGGCAACGCCAAGCAAGGGAAAGCAATGCCAAGAGAGTGCCGCGCAGCGCCAAGCAAGGCCATGCAATGTCAGGGAAGGCCAAGTAGTAGCAAGAAACAACGAGCGACGCCAAGCAATACCAAGCAATGCATCGCAATGCCAAGCAATGGCAAGTAAATCAAATGCCAAGCAATGTCAAGCCATGCCTAGCAATGCCAAGCAATGCCAAGCACCGGCAAACAAAGACAAAAACGTAGAGCAATGCCAAGCACTGCGATGCAATGCAACAACAATACCATGTAATGCCCAGCAATGCCAAGCAATGAACGGCAATGCCAAGCTAAGCCGAGCAATTCCATGCAATACGATGCAATGCCAAGCAATGCAAAACAATTCCAAGCACTGCGCAACACAATGCCAAGCAATGCAACGCCATGACAAGCATCGCCAGGCGGCAATGCCAAGCAATGCAACGCCATGGCAAGCAACGCCTAGCAATGCCAAGCAATACCGAGCAATCCGAAGCAGTGAAAAGCAACGCAAAGCAACGACAAGCAATGCCAAGCATTGCAACGCAAAACCAAGCAATGTTCAACACAGCCAAGCAATGCCAAGCAACGCCAAGCAATTCTAAGCACTGCCAAGCAAGTCCAACAACTGTAAAGGAATATCAGACAATACCAAGCAATGCAAGGCAAAGCTTGCAATGCAAGGCAATGCAAAGCAGTACAGAGAAATGCAAAACAATGCAAAACAATGCCAGGCAACGCCTTCCATGCTTAGAGACTTAGTGAGGCTTCGCCGACTTGCGGTCGCGCCAGGTTCATTTCATGATCGGACACATCGGCATGCCGACAAGATAGTCTCCTACTCACACACGCGACACGAACAGCCAGCCTCAGGATCCACCGACCCACGCGGACGATGACGCTGTGGCAACTGTCGGCCGTAGGTGGACACCAAAACGAAGACTCCTTAGAGTCTGGGTCGCAACCGAAGCCGCTAGAAGACCTCGGCCTGGCAAGGAAACCCGCTGCTCAGCGTACTAGTACCGGTACGTGTCAGGCTTGAAGGGGCCAGTGGCCTTCACACCGATGTAGTCGGCCTGCTCCTTCGTGAGGGTCGTGAGCTGTGCACCGAGCGCCGGCAGGTGCAGGCTGGCAACCTTCTCGTCGAGGTCTTTGGGGAGGAGGTACACGTTGTTCTTGTAGCCCTTCTCCTTCGCCGTGAGCAGGTCAATCTGCGCGAGGACCTGGTTCGTGAACGAGCAGGACATCACGAAGGACGGGTGTCCAGTGGCGCAGCCGAGGTTGAGCAGCCGCCCAGCCGCCAGGACGATGATGCCGTGCCCGTCTGGGAAGACGTAGCGGTCAACCTGCGGCTTGATGTTCTCCACCTTGATGCCTTCGAACTTCTCCAGATTTTCCATCTCGATCTCGTTATCAAAGTGGCCAATGTTGCCGACAATGGCGTTGTTCTTCATCTTCTTCATGTGCTCCAGCGTGATGATCTTGAAGTTTCCTGTGGTGGTCGTGAAGATGTCGATCTCGCCGACAACGCTCTCCATCGTAACCACCTGGAAGCCCTCCATGCATGCCTGGAGCGCACAGATGGGGTCACACTCAGTGATCAGCACCCTGGCACCAGCACCGCGCATGGCGAACGCGCAACCCTTGCCCACATCACCATAACCACAGATCAGCGCACGCTTGCCCCCGATCATCACGTCGGTGGCACGCATGATACCATCTGGCAGCGAATGCCTGCACCCGTAGACATTATCGAACTTGGACTTGGTCACACAATCGTTAACGTTGATGGCTGGGAACAGGAGCTCGCCCTTCGCAGCCATCTCCTTCAGCCTGTGGACGCCAGTGGTGGTCTCCTCGCTGACGCCCTTGCACTTCGCGGCCATGCGCGTGTACTTCGTCTTGTCGGCCGGGATGGAATCTCGCAGCAGCTGCAAGATGCACTTGAATTCGGCATTGTCCGTGCTGGCAGGGTCGGGCAGGGATCCGTCCTTCGCGAACTTTTCCTCGAACTCCTTGCCCTTGTGGATCAGCAGCGTCGCGTCGACGCGTCGTCGCGAGCTCGCAGCCGTCCGCGCCTGGCACTGTCATCATCTGCTCGGTACACCACCAGTACTCCTGCAGGGTCTCGCCCTTCCATGCGAACACGGTGGATGTCTCGGCCTTCGCGATGGCCGCAGCCGCGTGGTCCTGCGTGCTGAAGATGTTGCAGGAGCACCAGCGCACTTTGGCCCCAAGCGCGTGCAGGGTCTCGATAAGGACGCCGGTCTGGATAGTCATGTGCAGAGACCCGTTGATGTTCATCCCCTTGAAGGGCTGCTTCGGGCCGAACTCCTTGCGGGCCGCCATGAGGCCCGGCATCTCGTGCTCCGCCAGGCTGAGCTCTTTGCGGCCGAACTCGGCGAGGCCCATGTCCTTGACCTTGGACTCCGCCATGCCTTCGCAACTCGGCGTGACGCGCAGCTCGAACCTTGTCCGGTCCAAATGTCTTGAGCCAAAACGGCTACGGAGGATGATGGTGATGATGGTGCTGATGGTGGCGACGATGACTCAAGAAATTGCTACTTGTCTTTGAAGAACTGGAATGTGTTAGGTCTGCGCTGGCCAGGGTTCGCCGATTTTCTTTAGCCAAGCAATGCCAAGAAATGGAAAGCCATACCAAGAGAATGCCACGCAGCGCCAAGCAAGATCAAACAATGCCAAGCAACGCCAAGTAATACCAAGAAGCAACAAGCGACGCCAAGCAAAACCAAGCAATGCAACGCAATGCCAAGCAATGCCAAGCAAATGCCAAGCAATGACAAGACATGTCAAGCAATACCAAGCAACGGCATACAAAGACAAAAACGTCAAGCAACGCCAAGGAATGCACTGCAATACACAGCAATACCATGCAATGCCCAGCAATACCAAGCAATGAACGGCAATGTCAAGCAATGCCCAGCAATACCAAGCCATACCATGCAATGCCACAACAACGCCAAGCAAGGCCAAGCAATACACAACAATACCAAGCAATGCAACGCCATCCCAAGCATCGCCAGGCGGCAATGCCAAGCAATGCAACGCCTTGTCAAACAACGCCTAGAAATCCCAAACAATACCGAGCAATCCGAAGCAATGAAAAGCAACGCAAAGCACCGACAAGCAATGCCAAGCACTGCAACGGCATGTCAAGCAAAGCCAAGCAATTCAAAGCAGTGCCATGCAATGCCAAGCAACGCCCAGCAATGCAAAGCAATGCCAAGCAATGGCAAGCAACGCAAAGCAACGCCAAGCAACGCTAAGCATTACCAAGCAATGGCAAGTAACGCCAAGCAACGCCAATAACTGCACAGGAATACCAGACAATGCCAAGCAATGCAAGGCAATGCCAAGCAATGCCGACCAATGCCAAAAATACGCAGCATTCCCGAGCAGAGCAAAGCAATGCAGAGAAATGTGACACAATGCAAACCAATGTCAAGCAATGCCCTCGGTGCTCCGATACCTAGTGAGGTGTCGCCTAATTGCGGTCGCGCCAGGCTCATGTTTTGATCAGACACATCGGCATGCCGACAAAAAGGAATTCCGCTTACAAACGCGACACGAACAGCCAGCCTCAGGATCCACCGACCAAAGCGGACGATGACGCTGTGGCAACTGTCGGCCGTAGGTGGACACCAAAACGAAGACTCCTTAGAGTCTGGGTCGCAACCGAAGCCGCTAGAAGACCTCGGCCTGGCAAGGAAACCCGCTGCTCAGCGTACTAGTACCGGTACGTGTCAGGCTTGAAGGGGCCAGTGGCCTTCACACCGATGTAGTCGGCCTGCTCCTTCGTGAGGGTCGTGAGCTGTGCACCGAGCGCCGGCAAGTGCAGGCTGGCAACCTTCTCGTCGAGGTCTTTGGGGAGGAGGTACACGTTGTTCTTGTAGCCCTTCTCCTTCGCCGTGAGCAGGTCAATCTGCGCGAGGACCTGGTTCGTGAACGAGCAGGACATCACGAAGGACGGGTGCCCAGTGGCGCAGCCGAGGTTGAGCAGCCGCCCAGCCGCCAGGACGATGATGCCGTGCCCGTCTGGGAAGACGTAGCGGTCAACCTGCGGCTTGATGTTCTCCACCTTGATGCCTTCGAACTTCTCCAGATTTTCCATCTCGATCTCGTTATCGAAGTGGCCAATGTTGCCGACAATGGCGTTGTTCTTCATCTTCTTCATGTGCTCCAGCGTGATGATCTTGAAGTTTCCTGTGGTGGTCGTGAAGATGTCGATCTCGCCGACAACGCTCTCCATCGTAACCACCTGGAAGCCCTCCATGCATGCCTGGAGCGCACAGATGGGGTCACACTCAGTGATCAGCACCCTGGCACCAGCACCGCGCATGGCGAACGCGCACCCTTGCCCACATCACCGTAACCACAGATCAGCGCACGCTTGCCTCCGATCATCACGTCTGTGGCACGCATGATGCCATCTGGCAGCGAATGCCTGCACCCGTAGACATTGTCGAACTTGGACTTGGTCACGCAATCGTTAACGTTGATGGCTGGGAACAGGAGCTCGCCCTTCGCAGCCATCTCCTTCAGCCGGTGGACGCCAGTGGTGGTCTCCTCGCTGACGCCCTTGCACTTCGCGGCCATGCGCGTGTACTTCGTCTTGTCGGCCGGGATGGAATCTCGCAACAGCTGCAAGATGCACTTGAATTCGGCGTTGTCCGTGCTGGCAGGATCGGGCAGGGATCCGTCCTTCGCGAACTTTTCCTCGAACTCCTTGCCCTTGTGGATCAGCAGCGTCGCGTCGCCGCCGTCGTCGACGAGCTGGTCGCAGCCGTCCGCGCCTGGCACTGTCATCATCTGCTCGGTGCACCACCAGTACTCCTGCAGGGTCTCGCCCTTCCATGCGAACACGGTGGATGTCTCGGCCTTCGCGATGGCCGCAGCCGCGTGGTCCTGCGTGCTGAAGATGTTGCAGGAGCACCAAAACAAAGAAAAACATCAAATCACAACCAAGCACAAGAACAAACACCATCCCAAAAGACACCCACAACAACAACAACAACACAGATCCACCTCGTAACATACAGACACGCAAACCACATACTAAAACAACACACAAAAAACGATACAAAACCAACCAAACCAAAACAGAAAACAAAACAACAACACAAGCAACAAGACCAAAGCCAGCAAAAAACCAAAAATCATCAACACACCATCACACCCAACCAACACACCACCAACCAGCAGCGCACTTTGTGCCCCAAGCGCGTGCAGGGTCTCGATGAGGACGCCGTTCCTGGGATAGTCATGTGCAGAGACCCGTTATGTTTCGCACCTTGAAATAAAACAAAAAAAAAAAAAAAAAAAAAAAAGAAACAAAAAAACAAAAAAAAAAAAAAAAAAATAAATAAAAAAAGGCTGCTTCCCGCCGACTCCTTGGGGCCGCCATGAGGCCGGCATCTCGTGCTCCGCCAGGCTGAGCTCTTTGCGGCCGAACTCGGCGAGGCCCATGTCCTTGACCTTGGACTCCGCCATGCCTTCGCAGCTCGGCGTGACGCGCGGCGAGAGTTGGGGTGATGCTCGCTCGAGACTTGTCCTGTCAAAACGCCTTGAGCCAAAACGGCTACAGAGGATGATGGTGATGATGATGCTGATGGTGGCGACGATGACTCAAGAAATTGCTACTTGTCTTTGAAGAACTGGAATGTGTTAGGTCTGCGCTGGCCAGGGTTCGCCGATTTTCTTTGGTCAACCAAGCAATGCCAAGCAATGGAAAGCCATACCAAGAGAATGCCACGCAGCGCCAAGCATGATCAAACAATGCTAAGCAACGCGAAGTAATACCAAGAAGCAACAAGCGACGCCAAGCAAAAAAAACAAGCAACGCAACGCAATGGCAAGCGAAGGCCAAGCAATGCCAAGACATGTCAAGCAATACCAAACAATGCCAAACAACGGCATACAAAGACAAAAACGTCAAGCAACGCCAAGCAATGCACTGCAATACACAGCAATACCATGCAATGCCCAGCAATACCAAGCAATGAACGGCAATGTCAAGCAATGCCTAGCAATACACAGCAATACCAAGCAATGCCACAACAACGCCAAGCAAGGCCAAACAATACAAAACAATACCAAGCATAGCAACGCCATCCCAAGCATCGCCAGGCGGCAATGCCAAGCAATGCAACGCCTTGTCAAACAACGCCTAGAAATCCCAAGCAATACCGAGCAATCCGAAGCAATGAAAAGCAACGCAAAGCAACGACAAGCAATGCCAAGCACTGCAACGCCATGTCAAGCAAAGCCAAGCAATTCAAAGCAGTGCCATGCAATGCCAAGCAACGCCCAGCAATGCAAAGCAATGCCAAGCAGTGGCAAGCAACGCAAAGCAACGCCAAGCAACGCCAAACACTGCCAAGCAATGCCAAGTATCACCAAGCAACGCCAATAACTGCAAAGGAATACCAAACAATGCCAAGCAATGCAAGCAAAGCCAAGCAATGCCGACCAATGCCAAAAATACGTAGCATTCCCGAGCAGAGCAAAGCAATGCAGAGAAATGTAACACAATGCAATCAATGCCAAGCAATGCCCTCGGTGCTCAGATACCTAGTGAGGTGTCGCCTAATTGCGGTCGCGCCTTGATCGGACACATCGGCATGCCGACAAAAAGGAATCCTGCTTACAAACACGACACGAACAGCCAGCCTCAGGATCCACCGACCAAAGCGGACGATGACGCTGTGGCAACTGTCGGCCAGACTCCTTAGAGTCAGGGTCGCAACCGAAGCCGCTAGAAGACCTCGGCCTGGCAAAGAAGCCCGCTGCTCAGCGTACTAGTACCGGTACGTGTCAGGCTTGAAGGGGCCAGTGGCCTTCACACCGATGTAATCGGCCTGCTCCTTCGTGAGGGTCGTGAGCTGGGCACCGAGCGCCGGCAAGTGCAGGCTGGCAACCTTCTCGTCGAGGTCTTTGGGGAGGAGGTACACGTTGTTCTTGTAGCCCTTCTCCTTCGCCGTGAGCAGGTCAATCTGCGCGAGGACCTGGTTCGTGAACGAGCAGGACATCACAAAGGACGGGTGTCCGGTGGCGCAGCCGAGGTTGAGCAGCCGCCCAGCCGCCAGGACGATGATGCCGTGCCCGTCTGGGAAGACGTAGCGGTCAACCTGCGGCTTGATGTTCTCCACCTTGATGCCTTCGAACTTCTCCAGATTTTCCATCTCGATCTCGTTATCGAAGTGGCCAATGTTGCCGACAATGGCGTTGTTCTTCATCTTCTTCATGTGCTCCAGCGTGATGATCTTGAAGTTTCCTGTGGTGGTCGTGAAGATGTCGATCTCGCCGACGACGCTCTCCATCGTAACCACCTGGAAACCCTCCATGCATGCCTGGAGCGCACAGATGGGGTCACACTCAGTGATCAGCACCCTGGCACCAGCACCGCGCATGGCGAACGCGCACCCCTTGCCCACATCACCGTAACCGACCACGAGGATCAGCCACGCTTGCCTCCCGATCATCACGTCTGTGGCACGCATGATGCCATCTGGCAGCGAATGCCTGCACCCGTAGACATTGTCGAACTTGGACTTGGTCACGCAATCGTTAACGATGATGGCTGGGAACAGGAGCTCGCCCTTCGCAGCCATCTCCTTCAGCCGGTGGACGCCAGTGGTGGTCTCCTCGCTGACGCCCTTGCACTTCGCGGCCATGCGCGTGTACTTCGTCTTGTCGGCCAGGATGGAATCTCGCAACAGCTGCAAGATGCACTTGAATTCGGCGTTGTCCGTGCTGGCAGGATCTGGCACGGATCCTCTTCGCGAACTTTTCCTCGAACTCCTTGCCCTTTTGGATCAGCAGCGATCGCGTCGCCGACGTCGTCGACGAGCTGGTTCCCTCCACAGACCAGCCTGGCACTGTCATCATCTGCTCGGTAACGACCACACCAATACTCCTGCAGGGTCTCGCCCTTCCCATGCGAACACGGTTGATGTCTCGGACTTTCGTCGATGGGCCGCAGCCGCGTGGTCCTGCGTGCTGAAGATGTTGCAGGAGCACCAGCGCACTTTGGCCCCAAGCGCGTGCAGGGTCTCGATGAGGACGCCGGTCTGGATGGTCATGTGCAGAGACCCGTTGATGTTCATCCCCTTGAAGGGCTGCTTCGGGCCGAACTCCTTGCGGGCCGCCATGAGGCCTGGCATCTCGTGCTCCGCCAGGCTGAGCTCTTTGCGGCCGAACTCGGCGAGGCCCATGTCCTTGACCTTGGACTCCGCCATGCCTTCGCAGCTCGGCGTGACGCGCGGCGAGAGTTGGGGTGATGCTCGCTCGAGACTTGTCCTGTCAAAACGCCTTGAGCCAAAACGGCCACAGAGGATGATGGTGATGATGCTGATGGTGGCGACGATGACTCAAGAAATTGTTACTTGTCTTTGAAGAACTGGAATGTGTTAGGTCTGCGCCGGCCAGGCTTCGCCGATTTTCTCTTGGTCAACCAAGCAATGCCAAGCAATGGAAAGCCATACCAAGAGAATGCCACGCAGCGCCAAGCAAGATCAAACAATGCTAAGCAACGCCAAGTGATACCAAGAAGCAACAAGCGACGCATAGCAACACCAAGCAATGCAACGCAATGGCAAGCAAAAGCCAAACAAATGCCAAGCAATGTCAAGCAATACCAAACAATGACAAGCAACGGCATACACAGACAAAAACGTCAAGCAATGCCAAGCAATGCCCTGCAATACACAGCAATACCATGCAATGCCCAGCAATACCAAGCAATGAACGGCAATGTCAAACAATACCAAGCAATACCAAGCAATACCATGCAATGCCACAACAACGCCAAGCAATGCCAAGCAATACACAACAATACCAAGCAATGCAACGCCATCCCACGCATCGCCAGGCGGCAATGCCAAGCAATGCAACGCCTTGTCAAACAACGCCTAGAAATCCCAAGCAATACCGAGCAATCCGAAGCAATGAAAAGCAACGGAAAGCAACGACAAGCAATGCCAAGCACTGCAACGCCATGTCAAGCAAAGCCAAGCAATTCAAAGCAGTGCCATGCAATGCCAAGCAATGCCCAGCAATGCAAACCAATGCCAAGCAATGGCAAGCAACGCAAAGCAACGCCAAGCAACGCCAAGCAACGCCAAGCACTGCCAAGCAATGCCAATAACTGCAAAGGAATACCAGACAATGCCAAGCAATGCAAGGCAATGCCAGGCAATGCCGACCAACGCCAAAAATACGTAGCATTCCCGCGCAGAGCAAAGCAATGCAGAGAAATGTAACACAATGCAAACCAATACCAAGCAATGCCCTCGGTGCTCAGATACCTGGTGTGGTGTAGCCTCATTGCGGTCGCGCCATGTTCATGTTTTGATCGGACAGATCGGCATACCGACAAAAAGGAATCCTGCTTACAAACGCGACACGACCAGCCAGCCTCAGGATCCACCGACCCGAGCGGACGATGACGCTGTGGCAACTGTCGGCCATAGGTGGACACCAAAACGAAGACTCCTTAGAGTCTGGGTCGCAACCGAAGCCGCTAGAAGACCTCGGCCTGGCAAAGAAGCCCGCTGCTCAGCGTACTAGTACCGGTACGTGTCAGGCTTGAAGGGGCCAGTGGCCTTCACACCGATGTAGTCGGCCTGCTCCTTCGTGAGCGTCGTGAGCTGGGCACCGAGCGCCGGCAGGTGCAGGCTGGCAACCTTCTCGTCGAGGTCTTTGGGCAGGAGGTACACGTTGTTCTTGTAGCCCTTCTCCTTCGCCGTGAGCAGGTCAATCTGCGCGAGGACCTGGTTCGTGAACGAGCAGGACATCACGAAGGACGGGTGTCCAGTGGCGCAGCCGAGGTTGAGCAGCCGCCCAGCCGCCAGGACGATGATGCCGTGCCCGTCTGGGAAGACGTAGCGGTCAACCTGCGGCTTGATGTTCTCCACCTTGATGCCTTCGAACTTCTCCAGATTTTCCATCTCGATCTCGTTATCGAAGTGGCCAATGTTGCCGACAATGGCGTTGTTCTTCATCTTCTTCATGTGCTCCAGCGTGATGATCTTGAAGTTCCCTGTGGTGGTCGTGAAGATGTCGATCTCGCCGACAACGCTCTCCATCGTAACCACCTGGAAGCCCTCCATGCATGCCTGGAGCGCACAGATGGGGTCACACTCAGTGATCAGCACCCTGGCACCAGCACCGCGCATGGCGAACGCGCAACCCTTGCCCACATCACCATAACCACAGATCAGCGCACGCTTGCCCCCGATCATCACGTCTGTGGCACGCATGATGCCATCTGGCAGCGAATGCCTGCACCCGTAGACATTGTCGAACTTGGTCTTGGTCACGCAATCGTTAACGTTGATGGCTGGGAACAGGAGCTCGCCCTTCGCAGCCATCTCCTTCAGCCGGTGGACGCCAGTGGTGGTCTCCTCGCTGACGCCCTTGCACTTCGCGGCCATGCGCGTGTACTTCGTCTTGTCGGCAGGGATGGAATCTCGCAACAGCTGCAAGATGCACTTGAATTCGGCGTTGTCCGTGCTGGCAGGATCTGGCAGGGATCCGTCCTTCGCGAACTTTTCCTCGAACTCCTTGCCCTTGTGGATCAGCAGCGTCGCGTCGCCGCCGTCGTCGACGAGCTGGTCGCAGCCGTCCGCGCCTGGCACTGTCATCATCTGCTCGGTACACCACCAATACTCCTGCAGGGTCTCGCCCTTCCATGCGAACACGGTGGATGTCTCGGCCTTCGCGATGGCCGCAGCCGCGTGGTCCTGCGTGCTGAAGATGTTGCAGGAGCACCAGCGCACTTTGGCCCCAAGCGCGTGCAGGGTCTCGATGAGAACGCCGGTCTGGATGTCATGTGGCAGAACCCGTAGAATGTTCATCCCCTTTGAAGGGCTGCTTCGGCCGTAAATCCTTGCGGGCCGCCAGTGAGGCCCCATCATCGTGCTCCGCCAGGCTGAGCTCTTTGGCGGCCGAACTCTGCGAGGCCACCATGTCCTTGACCTTGGACGAGACGCCGCCATCCTTCCGCAAGCAGGCGTGACGCGCGGCCAGAATTAGGTGATGCTCGCTCGAGAACTTGTCCTGTCAGAACGCCTTGAAAAACCAAAAAAAAAAAAAAAAAAATGAAAAAAAAAAAAAGAAAAGAAAAAAAAAAACCAAAAAATGAAAAAAAAAAAAAAAAAAAAAAAAAAAATAAAAAAGGAAACAAAAAAAAAGCTTGAAATATGAAAAAAAAAAAAAAAAAAAAAAATAAAAAAAAAAAAAAAAAAAGAAAAAAAAAAAAGGGTTCCAAAACGGCTACAGAGGACGATGGTGATGATGATGCTGATGGTGACGACGATGACTCAAGAAATTGTTACTCGCCTTTGAAGAACTGGTATGTGTTCGGTCTGCGCCGGCCATGGCTCGCAGATTTTCTTTGGTCAACCAAGCAATGCCAAGCAATGGAAAGCCATACCAAGAGAATGCCACGCAGCGCCAAGCAAGATCAAACAATGCTAAGCAGCGCCAAGTAATACCAAGAAGCAACAAGCGACGCCAAGCAAAACCAAGCAACGCAACGCAATGGCAAGCAAAGGCCAAGACCTTGACCTTGACCTTGAACTCCGCCATGCCTTCGCAGCTCGGCGTGGCGCGCCCCGGGAGTTCTGGGAGAGGAGGCGCGTCCTGTCAAGATGCCCTGAAACAATACGGCCACGGATAATGTGAAGGGGCCCCAGGACACACAAATAAATACACACAAATAAAAATATTCCCCATATTTTCACATATTTTCTGGGTTTCTGTCTTCCCCCCCACTTCCCATATTTTCCCATATTTTCTGGGGAATCGAGGATTAATTGTGTCTGTGTGTTTCTTTTCCTCCTGATAATGATGGTAACGATGAGGGTGATTCGGGGAACGAAAAGTGGCATAAACATAAAAACTCGGAGGTCCGCTCGGATTTCTCGGATCGGCGCCGGGGCCCCCCGGCGGCGCCTCCGGCGCCGCTCCTGGCGCGCTCCGCGTGACAGAGAGGGGGGCCCAGCGCCGATCCGAGAAATCCGCGCGGACCTCCGAGTTTTTATGTTTATGTCACTTTTTTGTTCCCCTAATGATGGTGATACCGAAGGTCTTCCCCCAAGTAGGCCTGCATAAATCCAGACATTAGGCTGCCCCAATTCGTTGTTCGATGCGTGGGCCCCGCAGGTCTGGTTTTTCGCCCAGAGTCGTGTTTTGACGCTCCCGAGGCCCCGCGAGCGCCTGGGAGATCGAAGTGCCTCCGCCTCCGATCCCTCCTACTCCGTCCCCTTCGGTTCCTAAGGAAGAATTTGGTAACCCCAGGCGGGCGCATAGGTGGCACCAGTGGGGCAAAGGGTGGCTTTGTGCTGCTTGCAGACAGGTGTGCTTCTGATCACGGTTTGAAGCGGCGCGAAAAGGATCATTGCCCTGGACCTTGTGCCCACCCTAGTGACCTGCTGGCCAATCCACGTGGCCACAACCCGTATTTCTTCTGGCATCTAGATGACAGGCCCTCAAGTATAATCTTGTGTTGGAAGTACGGTTCGTACAGAGAGAACCCGAGGTCTCAAAGGAGACTGTCCTGACCAACCGCCAACAAACACGGGCGTGCGCCGCAACGCCACCGCGCTCGGGAGGGAAAACATCCGAAAGGTTCCGAGAACTCTCTCAGTGTTTCGAAGCCGCCAATCCCGCCGGCCCAGCTGGAGAAAGCATCGGCAGAGATGAGATCCGCTGAATAGCGCAGCAGGCAGCTCCAAGACACATCGGGACGCACCACATCCGAGGGGTCCCTCCCTCCCTCCCTCCCTCCCTCTTTCCTCCTCCCTCCCTCCTTCCTCCGCCTCCTCACCTCCCCCAGTGGCCGTGCTCTGGGCAACAATCGCTGGCGGCCCCTTCTCCTTGTCGAGCATCTTGAACATCTGCCGGCCGTCGGCGATCATGAACTCGCCGCCCTTCTCCGCGGCCTCTCGGCGGGGCCGAGAAACGGGGCCCGGGACGAGCGGAGGCGAGAGACTGGCAGCAGCTCCTGCGCATCCTTGCACAGGGTTTGCTGGCGAACTCGGGGCGGTCATGGCCCAATTTTCGCGGGGCCCAACCCGAACACAAACCCGCGGATCCCCCCGATGTCCCCACATGTTCTGGACTCTCGTCCCCCCCCACTTCCCATAATTATTCTCCCCTGGTCTCCTGGGAATCGACGATCATTTGCATATGTAACTTCCTTCGCTCCCTCCTGAAATTTTTCGTGGGAACGTCGGCCGTCCCACAGCAGGGCCACCCAACTTCGCGCACCGCGGGGAGGCGCGACGCGCGGCTCTGTTTCGGCGGCGCGCGCAAGGGGGTGGA